CATATATATATATATATATATATATATATATATATATATATGTATAACTTTCGGTACCATATTAAATATTTAAATATTATTAACGTGTATCTGAACGGTTGTGAGTGTACAGATAGATTATATGATTGATGGACTATATTTAATAAATCCACACTCGATGAGACACAAATCTAAAAGATTCACCTATTTGATAATTCAATATTAATGTAATAATAATGATAAAAATAATATTAATAATAAAATTACATACTAATGTACTTTTGTCGCTTTTTGCATATCGTGTCCACGTACACTTTACTTGGAGAAAAAAAAATAAATTCTTGTATTAATTTTAAACAATTGATATAACTTATTAATTATTACTCATTAAATTAGAGTTATTTTGTTCGTATTCAGTATATTTTTTTTTTAATTGTATACACAAACGGCCTCAATGTAATTTAGTCAAGTACGTTTAATAATTTTCCAATTTTATCATAACATTTAATAATTACTATGTACGCGCGTGCAATAAAATAAAAGAACAAAAAATACAAGAGATCTCATACAAATAAATTTAATATTTCTCACGATCAATTAAACATCACATTGTTAGAAAATAATTTTTAAAAGTAATAAATGAAAATGAATGCCAAAAAAATTTTTAGTAGTTAAAATGTGACTCTATTAAAATTATTATGACCGTCTTTAACTGATAGAAAAATAATTTAAAGGTGTCTCGTTTAGTGGGGTTTAGAGTACTAGTGTTAAATAATTATTGATATGAATAATATTAAATATATAAATATATATAAATAAAACTTGTCCTATTGAGATTGGCTCATAAGATCAAGTGATATGTGTAATAAAAAATATATATTAGTGTTTTATCATATTAATAATAAAGGATAAAATTATAATAACTATTAAAAATATGAGTGAGTTGTGAATGTAAGACAAACCGGTAATTTTTTTATACATTCTATTAAAATATTCATTATTTGGTTCGGGTTTATTGTTTCTGTATTTTATTTAGATAATTTTCCTCTAAACAAAATAATTTTATCGTATCATTTTTTATAGGCGAACAAAAATATGTCTATCTGATATGAATTATTTAGTTACTCATTTTTTTTTTCTCCTAATGTAGCGTCAAGTGATGATTACAATGATTGTGAGATGATAATGTTAAACTTTTGTAACAAAATTGCTTCTATCAATAAAATAATTAAGAAATACATTCCGTTTAATTTATATAATTAATTGTAAAAAATATAATCATAAATATAAATTATCAGAAACTTATTTATTAAGAAACTACAATTAATTCTTAGAAAATAATTAAATGTTATTAACATTAAGACTAAAATATTTCACTCAGTCCATCGGTGAGTACAGTGCTGATTTGTGCATACATAATAAAGTCTCATTTCTTCTTCAGCACGCCGTGTTTGGGCTTGGAAGAAAACAGCCTCTCGGTGGTTACACTTTGGACAAGGATGATCCTCTGTTCTTGGTAACGTCGGGTCAGAAATAACGTCCTGAACAATGTGAGTTAACTCGCTGAAAGTAGACAGCAGTGTAAATAATAATGAAAATAAAAACAAAAATATTTATAATTTTGTGAGATAAACTTACTCAATTTCGTGCATAATTTTGTTTACATAAATACAATTGCTGTCTGCATTTTGTTTAAAGTCACAATTCCTGCACTGTAACAAATAAAAAAATAATTTTTAATATTATAAGTAAAAATGAAAATTAAGTTAGTCGACATCTAAAATTTTTTTTATTAAAAAAATTATCACAAAAAAAAAAAATTCATTTGTAAAAAACTTGAAAAACTATAGGTGCAATTTTTTAAAAATATTTTTTAGTTGTAATTTAATAAATGAAAAATAATAAAAAAATTAATGAAAATTAAGTTAGCTGACATAAAAATTTTTAGAATCTTTTTTTATTGAAAAAATGATTAAAAAAAAAATTTCACTTGTAAAAAACTTAAAAAACTATCAGTGCAATTTTTAAAAAATATTTTTTTGTTCTAATTAATTTAATTATTAAAAATAAAATCAAAAAATTAAAAACATCGGCTGACTAGTACCACCAAGTAAAATTATTTTTTTGAGGTTATAAATTAAACTTACCGCATATAAAAGTACTTTATTCTCCTTATCCTCTTTAGGATACAACATATTATTACACTCTTGACAAAATCTTATTCCTACAAATCCTGGTCCGTCATTATGAGAGTCATAATTTGTTAATCGCGACATTTTTAATTGTAATAATTAAAAAAAAAAAATAAAGGTTATGTATATGTAGATGCTGTTAGTAAGCAAGAATACTAATGAATGTCACTGGTTATTTTTTGTAACCCTTGGCTACTCAAGCATTTTTGCTTTCTCACTCTTACTATAGTAATTTTCTATAGGTTGAGTAGTGTTTTAAAGGATTTTCTATCGGTAGGACCAACACAAGGATAATAATGTCTATCTCGAAGAGCCCGAATTTGTTTAATGGTTGGATCGATACTCAAAGGAGAGGAATTTCATTAACTGAGAAGCCAATCAAGATACTGGAATATTTAATTACTCACAGCTGATTGGACGGAGCCGAAAAAGTCCCTAGACAGTAAGTTAAAAAAATTAAAAAAATTAACAAACGGAAGTCACGCATTGTAAGTACGCCTAAAAATGATTTATCGCGCAATTACAATAATAAATTACACTCTATTGTTATAAATATACATATATATATATATTATACTATACTCATTGCTGCCCACAGATTGTTATCGTAATTTATAAATTAAAATAATTGACCAGAAGTTTATTATTTTAATAAATATTAACAATAATAATTATTATTTAAAATAATATTATTGAACATTGAAAAATAATAAAAAAAAAAATAATTTAATACTGGTTTTTTTATTGCTTGCATTTGTCGGTTGAACAAACTTGATGCGCACAAGTTGATGCGCGTAAAACACTAGAATTAACAACAACGACATTAATAATTAACTAACAAAAATATTTCATGGGTTGCGGTGAAGGTGTCTGCTGACTAACTCCAAAAGATATTTACTCCTAAAAGTAAGTAATTAAATTCAATTAATTATTACAAGTGATTTTTAAAATAAATTTGTGTTTTATTTTTAGAGAATAATAATATAGAGCGGTATTATTTGAATAATTATTATTGAGATAATAAAAAAGTGTGGTAATGTTTTTTTTGAATGGTAAAAGTTAGTAAATGGCGGTAGTGAGCGCTAGTGTTCCCATTGAATGCTACCCCCCAGCACTGGTGCTACCCCCACCCGTCGGTGCTCCCCTAGCCAGTGCAAATCTCGGCGGATGTATGTTTTCTTAAGGGATTCTTACTAATTCACGCGACAATTGGAGATTATTTGTCATTAAAACTGTTTTAAAGTGGTGATCCGTGCTGTTAGAGTGACACGACAAAGGTAGTAATTGAGTATCAAGTGTTATTAGTGATTATTTAAAGTTAAATAATGAAGAAAGCGTGAGACAAAGTGCTCAAGGCGGTCCCTCGGGGGGTGATGGCCCTCACGCCGACAGAGCGTCATCTCCCACAATCTTTAAATAATAATATTATACTTTTAACATTAATAATACTATTTATTATTATTTTATAACTGTTTGTTACTCAGTATTAATTATTAATTTAGCTAACCTATTGATGTGATACAAATGCCGACACGTGATTTTTTTAAAAATGGCATTCGAACGCGTGGGTGTTTCTGTCTCTCTCTTTTTCGCGTACCAACAGGCATTATTACTTCTTTTTCTTCCTGTTATTTTTATTTATTTTTTTATCTCATTTTACATTTTTACTCTTTTTTTCCATCACGGCGCTCGTCTCGCGCCGCATCGAGCTGTTATTTGTTTTGTTGCCCATCCATTCTTTATACAGCACGCTTAACTCTCTCAGCCACTTTTTCTTTGTTAATATATATCTATATATATATATACATACATATATACATACTCATCTGTACAGTGTACGTGTGTGAATATATATATATATAACATAATATATAATGTATAATAAAAAAAGAATATTAAAATATACATCTATAGATATATATTAAAAAAAGATTAACTAAAGAAAAAAAAGTTAACCGGGACGCCAAAATTTTTTTACCGTTAGCGTGGGTATCCCAGTTTGTTAATTAGTTGGTTATATACATACATAAGTATACGTCTAATGAATATTCGGCCGGGCTCAATAGATTTGCCATTCCAAGTTTTATTAGTTTGAGAATGTACTAGCGCAACGCTCTCTTGTGCCCATACTTTTCGGCAGTAATTTTATTGTTAATGGAGATTCTCTTATATACTCTATGACAGCCATGTTGTTAATTCTTTGATATGTATAAGAGTTAGTTTTTGTTAACATATTTATTTTTTCCCGCTTTCCTCACTTCACCCTCTACTTCTTTATTTTTTTTTTTTTTAATTTATTTTATACATATTAATTGTCATTGTCATTTAATAACAATAATTAACTTACTCCGTTTTATTTGTTTTCATTGTTGCCGTTTCATTCATACTTAATATTTTTATTATTATTTAAAATTAAATATTCATCATTTTGTAAAATCGATTTTCTACAGTTTTACCTATGCAACAATAATAATAATAATAATAATCATAATAATTTACAATAGGTTGGGTTGGATACCTTAATTTTATTTATTCTATTACAATTTTTTTTTTTTACTCGAATAAATGATTTTAATTGCGTCATTAGAAATGTTTAAGTATTCACGGTGATATTTTATTCAAGAGTTCAACATTTGAATCATTAATTAGTTTCATATTGTCATTAAACCAATTTTTTTTTTTTTTTAACTTAGTTTAGTTTTTAATTATTTAATTAGAATAAAATAATAATGAGTGATTTTATTTCAGATAAAAAGAGCTGGTCAAATTGGATCTATCATTTAAGATCATGGAACCTGGAAATAACTTACCTCCACCGGGTACTTACCCTGATGGAGATCGTCAGCAGCTTTGTGTATCATGGCACTCATACCAGTCAAATATGCACAACGCATTTCCAAAGCTCCTCAGTTCGGAGCAGTTTGTTGATGTCACATTGGCTTGTGATGGTGGCTCAATAAAGTGTCACAAGGTAGTTTTGTCAGCCTGCAGTGATTATCTCGAGAGATTATTACTAGAAATACCTTGTTCGCATCCTATTATTTTCTTACGGGATATGCGTATGTGGGAGCTACAAGCGCTTGTTGAGTTTATGTACCGGGGAGAAGTTTATGTCGAGCAACAACAGCTTGCTAAATTGATGCAGGCTGCTGACGTTCTTCAGGTAATGATAAATTTTAATAATAATAATATTATTAATAATTTATATTTTTAATTTATTGGCTGTTCAGTCTAATACAACAATTTTTTTCGCAGTATTGTTAGCCTGTACTTCCAGGCATAAATAAATTATCCTTAATTCATATCTAAATCTGCCATCAAAGTTAAATTTGACTGAAAAAATAATTAATAATAATTAATAAAGATAGATAGTTGTTATTTTTTTATTATTTATTTATTGATTTAAACGCCAATCGGCTTTATACATATTGGTAATACGGAGAAAAATTTTTGAGAGAATTTAATATAAATAGAATTATAACAGCAACTAGACTAATCTACAGAGAAAGTATTGCCTTGCCGCATTTTGGAATTACAAGATTTATTTTAATTTAGCTAAAAATGTTCTATAGGAACCGTCGAAAAAATTTATATTAGTGTGATATCTATTAACAAGAATTTATATTCTGTTTTTTGGACTATTGATGATGTATTTTTTAGTGGACATCGTTGTTTTCAGTATACAATTATGCCTAAGGTTAAAATTTTTTTCGATGAATTCGAAGCAATTTAACAAATCTAAGCCTATTAGCTGATTAAATTCTTGAAGAATGTTCAATTTTTTAATATTATTTTTTTCACTATAATATTTTTTGGTATGAAGTCTTTTCATATCATTAAAAAATTTTGAGGTGAAAATACAACAATTAAAATTTTATTTCGACAATTTTTGTTAGAAAGTGTGTAAAGATATAATTTTTTACTCAGTGTCACTTTTTTCGGCAACTGAAAAAATAATTCGGAAACATTATCTAACAAAAATTTGTTGAAAATAAATTTTAATTGTATTTTCACCTAAGATTTTCTCTGATAGTATGAGGGCTTAAAAATAACAACTATTTATTTTTATTAATTAAAAATACCGATCTTTGAGTCATATATTAAATACAATAATAATAATAATATTGATAGATAGTAATAATAATATTATTATTGATAAATAGTAATAATAATAATAATTTATTAAATTTCAGATTCGTGGATTGTCAGGTCAAACACGAGATGCCAATCCAGAAACCTCAACACCACCAAGTGTATCGAGTACACATTCAGAACCGACGACTCCTATTAAAAAAACCCCACAAGTCCCCGCTGTAAAAGAAATTATTGAAGACGAAGAAGATGATGAAGAAGACGATGCACCAACTCAAAATGACGACCCGATGACTTTCCTGGAAAACTCTATAAATGTAACATTAAACGCGATAAACAACACTTCACTCACTGTCACTCCCACCGACCCCCCAGTTAGCGAACCCTCTAATTTCCTGACCATAGACCACACTGAAAATATCGAGCACACCGAAGCACTTCAGCATTTGGAAAAAGCGCTAAGTTCTTGTGAAGCCACGATGACCGAAACGCCTGGTATGGTTAAAATGGAACCCGACGAACAATTTTTTCAACAGGACAAGCCCTATTCAATCAGTATGGTACCCACGTCAAACAATTGCAACACGACCAACAATAGTAACAGCAACAGTCCCTTCCCTGCAATCGAAGGTAAACTTTTCATTACTTATTTTTTTTAGTTTCATTATTTGTATTATATACTGTAATTTTTCGAGTTTTCTTTTTTTCCGTGGCTATTATCTGAAATTTTTTTTTACTCAGTATAATCTGAGATGATATCCAGTCTCATCTTGTTTTTTCCGGGTACGCACCACAATACACACTCCGGCTCGCTTTATTATATTAGCTATAACTTTGTCAATATTCGAGATTTTATTTTTTTCTCTCGTCAGTACACGCTCAACATAATATATTTTTAAATTATCAAAAAAAAAAAAATGGATTTTTTGAAAATTTTACATGGACTTCTTCCCCATTAAACGATAAGTTTATTATAATTTAACCAAGCTTGTGTATAGTTTTAAAGTTGTAACTTATAGACTTGATTACTTATTCAGTATCGAGTCTAGAGCGTTCAAGTACTTGATAAATTAATACCATTGAGCTATCGCTGGTTATTATTAATTAAAGCTATTATTGACGATCAAGTTTTATTTTTAAAAATGATATAATTAGTTCATAGAATTTGGATAATAAATAAAAATCACTTCTATTTATTTATTTAAGCTTCACAATGATGAAATATAAAAGTCATTAAATTTAATATCTTAAACAATACTGAGTATAAATAGTTGTCGTTTTAGATATATGTAATTTAATGACTATTTTGTTTATCACTTTGGAGTTTGAAGTATGAATAAACATATTATATGAAACGTTGCTCATTTATTTTTTTATTGTCCAAATATCCATGAAATAATTTTTTATCAGTAATTAAAACTTAAGATAAAAATTTAATGATACAATAAATAATATCGGAGTTTGTCAAATGATATTATTTTTATTAAAAAAAAAAAAAAAATAGATATTGAATATTAAATAATAATTATAAATTTGGATATTTAGGTTATCAAAGACGACAACGGCGATCAGAAGCTGAGTTAAAGTTGGCATCGGACATGGTGGCCCGCGGCAAAACGTTTCAAGTAGCTTCCGAGAAATACAACATTCCGATCAGCACGATTCGCTTTTACATGGTCCGAAAGGGGCTTTTGCAGAGGCGAAAACGGGGACGCGGATCGACTAACATAGGTGCGTCCAACAGTCAGCCTGGCAGCCCCGCGACTCCGCCATTTCACATGATGAATTACCGCTTGCCTGAGAGTTTAAATTCAACTCTTCAGTAGTGGCTAACTTATGTGAAAGTGAATAATAATAATAATAATAATGAAAAAAAAATAATAATAATTACCGGTTGTTGTATATCCGGTAGTAAACCTTGTCGATTCAGTATCACCGTAAAAAATAATAATAATCGATTTCTTCCCTCATCGTCATCGATCACAAATCACAACCATCATTTCGATTTTATAATATATAAATCGAATATTGATATTTATTTTTTATTATTATTATTACTACAATTATTAATTATACATATGATTGTTTGATTTTATTCAAATTAATCATTAGTTTGGCTGTTGTTGTTGTTACTGCTGCTATTGACAATGACGACAGTCAAGAGAGTTATAATTAAGTGATGATTTGATTATTTAACTCGGGTTTGTTTGTAACAATCGTTAAGATTTAATAGATTAAATCCATGAAACGATAGACGCAACGCGATGTATTTGTTGTGTCAACAGACAAGTAGAGAGTTGTATTAGGTCATACCTACAACAGTATAATACAACTTACCCCAATTTAGAATAGAAAAACAATAATAAAATAATGATATTACTTATAAATATTGTATGATATTGGAACTTATAATAATCCGGCTGATGTGATGAAGTGAAAGATCCCTTGTTTTTATTTTTTTTTTCTTTTTTTTTTTTTTAATTTTCATTAAACAGGAATCTCTTGCAATTGCTGCATACACGGAAAAAACAAGATGACACTGGATATCATGCCAGATTATACTCAGTGATATCTGTGGTAAAAAAAAATTTCAGTTAGTAACTAAAAAAAAAAAAATCCCGTTTATACTCATTGTAATCTAGATATACTAGCTACTATCTGAAATTTTTTTTCACTTAGTATAATCTGGGATGATATCCAGTGTAATCTTGTTCTTTCCGTGTGCCGGGTAGCAATTTTAATAATGAGATTATTTGGTTTGAGATTGTTAAAATACATTCCCATGAGTGGCCTACGTGAAAAAAAAAAGGAAAATTTTTTTTATTTGTCTTAACTATCTAACGCTTATCTCAAACGAATATTTAATTACTTTGTCAAGTATATTTATCATTTATCAGTTAAGAAAAATGATCCGTGTGTAGACAATATGATAAATAATATACCTTATAACTTTTAACTGTTATATTAATATTTATCTGGAGTGAGTTATTTTCTTCGTAAAAACTTGCTTTTTTTCACAAGACCCTCCGATGTAAATCCGCGATTAATCTGAAAAACTAATCATGACTTATAGTAGTAATAAAAAACGCTTTTTACATATGAGTGTACAAAAAATGAAAAAATAAAAAAAAAAAAAAAAGAAAAAAATAGTTAACAAAATGCAAAAAATAATTATAAATTAATAAAGCAGGAGAGATAGATTATTGTAACGAAAATCAAGTAAATACATGTAGTCAACGAGATATAATAACTAATTAATCAAGTTTTTATAAAAAGAATAAAAATATATATTTTTAAGTCATCAAATTAGTATTTTATTTTTTTTTTTTTTTTTTTTTTTTTTTTATAAAAATTTAATTGTTGGAACAGTATCTCAGAGCAAAATCAACAATGTTGTACGGTGTTAATGTCTTTGTTAAATATAACATTCAAAAGAGGCCATATTTTTTCATGCAATGCAATAATCGAAATATAGTGTTACACTTACAAAGAAATAGATCGAACAAAAAACAAATACTAAATATTATAATGATAATAATAATAGTAATAATAAATTTTAAAATACGCGATAGGATTATGATATTTTTTTTTTTGTTTAAATAGAGTGTCTGCTAGATATTAAATTACTCAAACAAGGCTCTAAAAAAAAGTTACAAAAGAAATATAATAATACTAATGATTAAGTAAATAGACCTATTGAAAGCAGTATTCCAATCATCAATGCAGAATATTTAGTTTTTTAAACGGACATTAAAATGCTACTTGCAACATTCAAATCGTTTCATTTTCATCAAGTTTTTTTTTTAATTTGTAGAAATAGTTTTAATTAATAATTATTATTAATTAATAACTTACGATTAATGAATTTTTTATTTGTTTTAAGTAAGCAACTATTCGATATAGAAAAGAGTAATAAATTGTAATATTATATGAATAAAACTCTTATAAATATGAGAGTTAAGATATTTAAATATCTAATTGAATAATAATATCAGTCTCTCTTTCTTGTTTTATTTACTCATTATGTTATTTTTTACAATTAAATAAGCTCAGCCATGTTGAGGCAATAAATATTATTGTTATTATTATTATCATTTAATTTAATCAATTAATTATTGATGAAGAATATAATTATTAATGAACTTTCTCGGATTCGTAACTCGGTGACCGTTTTTGTATTTGTAGATAAATTAATGACTGGAATTTAAAAAAATTATTTTATTGTTTATAGAAAACAAAATAAAGTACAGAGACAAAAAAAAATAATTAAAGTATAAAATCTATTAATACAATCTTGATACACAAAAGTTACCGAGCTAGGGCCATCATGTTTATAAATAACTAAAAATAATTATCATACATTTTATTGAAAATGTTTTTAGTCATGATCGTTTCTTGGCATTTTTGATGAGTACATTTACTTTTATTCCTTTTTTAGTTTAATTTAATTATTTTATAAATATCTAAATGTTTATTTTAATTTTTATTTGTATTTAATGAACTTTATCTTTTGCGATACTTTTAATGAAAATTTGTAGGTACTTTTTCTAAGAAATAAAAAAAATGAAAAAAAAAAATTTTTTTAACAAATAAAAAAGGCCTGTAGAGAAAAAGGATGTGAAATTGTGATCTCGTGAATTATTTCAGCAGCTGCAAGCATAAAAACAATTAATTTGTAAAAGAGATTAGAAAAAAAAAATAATGAAACTAGAGTTCGATAATTTATGATATTAAAAAACATATATTTAATGATAAATAAGTAAAATAAATAATGTCACAGGAAAGTATGGTAGATTAAAAATGAAAGAATTAATTTTTTAAATTGAAAAAAAAAAATTAATCGTCTTTATAATTTTCTTTCTTGATAATATTTTTTTTACTTATCGATAAAATTGGTACAAATTAAAGAATTTATATTATTCTTTTTTTGCTATGAATTATTTTTATTGCAACTTTTTATAGGGAAGTATATATAAAATAAAAATAATTGTAATAATAATTTTTGAGTAATTGCAGAGTGATAGGCAGCTCTGAGAAAATGCCTCTTTTTTTTTTTTTTTAATTTTAAAATTGTATATTATCGAAGTAATATTAATAACTTTTAAGGAACAAAACAAGTCAGATGTTGATGATGTTGGTAGAGCAATACTCTCGTGTTATTTCGATCATACGAAACAAATAAAAATTCCCGTTTAATTTTTAATTACACTGTAAACATTGATGAGAATAATAATGATGATAATATTAGGTCATACGTACATCTCCACGCGTTATCCCAAGTATTTTCAATTAATAAAATATATATTTAAAATGAAGTGAAAAAGAAATAATAATTAAGAAAAAAAAAAATGAAACAAATTTATAATTATTCAATAAGGCTATATAAATCGTTTTTTTTTTTTAGAGTACATTACTTTTAATATTAATTAAGATAATGTAAAATGTGTTAGTGAAGCATGCTTCTAAATAGTTATTTAGGTCATTGCTATAAACAATACATAAATTATATAAATAATGATAATAATAATGATAATGATAGAATAATATTAACAACCATGAAAAATAATTATCATAAGGCATTTAATAAGCGCAGAGTATTTCTTAATAAAATTATTTCTAAAATGAATCAATACCACGTTTACTCTTATTTTATTTTTCATACATAATACATTTAATTATTGTAAAGAAGAAAAAAAAATTTGAAATTTAAATAACATATTCATCATTACTATTGTTATTGTTATTATAATACAGTCGAATTCATTTTATAAGGAATAATAATAGTAATAATGATAATATTGTGTATTTTGAGCATTAATCAATTGTCAATTCATTTTATTTAAGTATTTAATTTTAGGTTACTATTGTTTTTATATATTTATAAATAACAATATGGATTTTTTTTTTAAATTTTTAGTTAACTAAGTTATTATTATTTTATTGTTTGGATATCAATTATAATTTATGTAAATTAAATAAATTTTTATTGTTAATTATTATTTCTTTATTAAAATGTACGGAAAATTTTCAGTTGAATTTTAGTTTATTATTAAAAGTAGCAGAAATAATTTTTAAGTTAAAAAAAATTTTTATACAATTTTTAATATAAATTATTTTTAAAAACTAAACTCCAAATTTCTGCTACTTTAAAATTTTATTTTTTCTAAATTTATTGTTTCTTTTTTTTAATGTTAATGAAAATTCAATCAATAATTATAATGAAATAATTGTAAAAAAATAAAAGTAATTAATAAAAGAAGAAATTTCTTATAACAAGATTCGACTGTTGATAAAATAACACAAAACAAAATTGCTAGCATAACAATAAAACACACTAACACGTAACTTGAAATTGTTAACGTGTTTGGGGATTTATTCGCAGGGCATTCATCAATGCGCTAGTAAGCGATCAGCATTAATCATGCCCATCATCAAACAAGACAATGGCTATCATCATCAAGTAAACAATAATCATTATTTCAACCTTCCTGAGCTCCGAGAAAGATGACCTAGGCATGTTTCCGATAGCCGACTTGAATAATCAGCGTGCCTACTCCTGGATGTATCTTCATCATCATCTTCATCATAATCACACCGTCATTATCATCAAAAAGCAATCGTACGCCATACGCCAAGATTTAAATAATAAATGGCGGATATCTTCAATTTGACAATACATCCGATTAAAAAAAAATAAAGTTATATTATAATGCAACTGGGTGGGGAGCATCTCTACACAGAATTTTATAATTCCTCAGGAGAAATTTTTATTTTTAAAAACTCTTAGTTTAAAATTCTTCAATGAAAAAAAATTAATTTAAAAAATTCTTTTTTTGAAAATCTTTCAGGAAGAAATCGATTGCAATGGAACTTCTTTATATCTCAGAAACAAAAGCTCGATATTTTGCTAAATTCATGTGTATTCTTTTTTTTTTTTAAATAATTAAAAATATTGATGTTCTAATTAGCAAATTATCTAACTCCATTTTAGAGAATCTTCCGTTTGTACGAAAAAACAATTAGTTCAAAATTTATTATCACTTTAAAAAATTATTTAATATCATTAATATCTAATAGAGGTATATTTTGGTTTGGATCATTCAAATAATTTATAATTGGACTATTGCTACATCAAAATGTTAAAAAATCACTCTCTAAAAAATAAGGAGAGACCAATTGCTAATTAGACTGTCGATATAAAGTTGTAATTATTAATAATTATAACATCTATAAAATATTTTTGTAAATTTAGTTTTCATCGATCACATTTTGAGGTCCCAAAAAACTTTATATTTTTGATTATTTTAATAAAAAAATAATACACATGAATTTAGCAAAATATCGAGCTTTTATTTATGAGAGATGTATCGCCTGAAAGTTTTATGATATAAAGAAGTTCAATTGTAGTCCATGGTTTCCTGAGAGATTTTCAAAAGAAGGATTTTTTTAATTCTCATTGTCATAAATGTTGTGTACATCTTATGGAAAGAGAAAAAAGCACAAACAATAATTGAATTTAAATTTAAAATTAATGCAATATGCAGCGTTACGTCTATGACACAGTCAGTTAATTACAATAAATTGCGAAAATGTCTATAGAATTGCTACTATTACTATTATTATTATTATTATTATTATTATTATATTTTTATTACTTAATCTTGTTTATATTACTCTATTATAACTATCATTATTACTCTATTATTACTTTCAATGGAATTAAGAGTTATAAGTATTATTTTAATAACTATTATAAAACAATGTAATCGCTGATATATGGTCACAGGGAACAAAAGCTCCATGATCAATTTAAATAAATAAAATAAATTGATTTTTTTTCACATAGTAAAAAATTTTATGTTAAATATTTAACACTTTTTTGTGTTAATTTAACACAAAATTTTTTACTGTGCATTGAAGAATTTTATACTGAGAGTTTTTAAAATTGAAAATTTCTCCTAAGGAATTATAAAATGTAAAAAAATTCTCTGTAGAAATGCTCCCCACTCATGCAACTCACCCTAAGAGTTAACGATAAAATCGCTAGATTTTATTTATCTAATCAAGAATAATTATGTTTAAGCAAAAGATTTAAAAACAGTGAATTGTCACTCGATAGTTTCTTAATCATGTCCTGAGATTAATTAATAATAATAATGAATTGTTAGTCCGCCGTATTGCGGGTTGATAAATAATAATTATATAGAAGTAACATTATAACAATAATAATAAGATCAATTAGCTTGAGTATCGTACATGTATGTATAAATATATGTGTTGAGATTTTTATTTTGTAACTTTAGAAGTAAATAATGTAACATTACTTTAATTGATCAAACTAAAAGCGCCTTTGTCTGAAAAAGCGATTATGAATAAGAAAAAACAAAATAATTAATTAAGAAAAAAAAAACATGGAATAATTGTCTTGCTGTATAATAATATATATATGATATAAGATGGTTTAATAACTCCTGGACCTATCTCACTATTATAATAAGTATCCAAGATCTTTATTTTACACTTATATACTTTTAAGAAAGGTCATTGACTTCAAATCTGTCCTGCTGCCTTGGAATTACCCGCTCTCCCTTTAAATGCTCTTTTCTTCTATTCTTGCGTTATATATCTTCTGTCGTCTGGGTTCTTAGTCAGCAAAATTGTCAAAAAGGAACAAAAGGAAGAGTTGGTTAAAGAATCTCCTTTATATGCATTTACTTAAATATACACATAGAGTACTCCCTTTATTTTCCAAAAAACTGAGCAACCGCAAAGTAAGAAGACTAGACCACAACGGCGAAGCAAGAAGACGATAAATATATATTTTGAGGCAGAAGCACACGTGTAGGACGTGGGATTCCCCTCGGCATCTTTGCCAACTTTTTGCCAGACAATCGCACACTTTCTTTGTCCATTTAAATTATAAATTATCATTATTACCGAGAATCCTCTTCTACCACGTGTGTATTATAGCTTCTAGCTTGTTCTCTTCTTCATTCAGCATAAAGGGAAGAAAGAAGGAATTTTTTGCGGTTATTTGGATAAAAATAACTTCCAAAGCGTTTCCCAATGTGTCACAAGATCGATGACATTTGTTAAATAATGGTCTTTTTGTTAAACAAATTAAAAATGCGTAGTTTTGTTAAAAGAGCGTGACATTTAATATTGTGTACGACGTATGCGCACGCTCTCGCATCCTCTCTTTCTTTGTGTTATTTTTGGCAGAATCACCGTTGTATGCTTTAAATAGGACCGAGTTTCCGTCGAATAAAGCAGTTTGTAATACGAATTCTACATGTTGGAGCATCGCACTGTCTTTGAAGTAAGTAAACAGGTGCTATTGCTCTATCATCAACAATTGTTTATTATATATGATTACTTCCTATATTCTTCTTTGATTTTCTCTAATTATTAAGGGTACAGTTAAGTTTTTAAGTGTCCTAAGGTACGATAAAAGATGATTAATTTGATAATTAATGTGAAACGGGTGATATATTAGATAATGAGTGACGACGACGGTGGTTATATATGTGTGTGAAGACAATGTTCGGGAAAGTCTTGAGCTTTGTACTTACCAGCGGGAAAATTTGAAAAAACGATTATTGTTATTGTTATTATGCATACGTGACAAATTTTAATGGACTATATTATATTAATTGGCGCTTGGCGAATGTTATTAGATTAAATTATTTTTAAATAGTGAGTGCATCATATAAATAAAAATTTCGTAATGTTAACTTCACTGGTGGATATACTTGCAGTGGAACCTTATGTTCATGTGTCAAAAACACAAAAGAATATTGAGAGTTTTATTTATATACAAGATGGCCACCAATTCACTTTTTTATTGTTATATTATTCTTGAGTTTTTATTTTTTAATTAAATCTTATTAAAGTTAGCAGTCAATTATTTTTTAATTTTTTTTAATAAATAAATTATTTTAAGAAAATTGCATTTTTTATTTTTTTTTAATTTCTACATGTCAATTTTTTATAAAAATTAAGTTAGCCAATATTTAAAAATCTTTAGAATTTTTTTTTATTGAAAAAATGATTGCAATATAGAATAAAAAAAAATTTCACTTGTAAGAAACTTTAAAAACTGTAAGCGCAATTTTTAAAAAATGTTTTTTTGTTATAATTTAATTATTAAAAAAAAAAATTAAAATCGTCGGCTAACTTTAGTATTATTAAAAAATTTAAAAAGCCAAGAATTAATTCTTTTGTTGTTGAAGCTATTGTTAATAACCTCAATTGTCAACAATCAAAGTTTGCAAAAAGTTTCAATTTTACTGTCAATAATAATAAAAAATTTTTAGTAGCTGTCAATAAATAAAACCTGTCAAATTTCTATTATTTCTTCTTTGCACAGATTTCTTCAATCTTACCTGACACGATTGCGGTTCCAGTTATTTAAAAAAAAAAAAAAATAATAGTTTATTTCAATAAAGTACGTAGCAATAATATTAAAATAACTACTTACATTAGAATTAAAATAAATTAAAACTTGTAAAAATTTAAACCAAAAGTACAGTCTAGACAGAAAAAAACTGCGCCATTTCCTTGTCATTGGCACGAGTTCCAAAAAGTTTCAGAGGTTATTATTTTGGAAGCACTTGCTTCAAGTTGAGCGATGACGTCGTCACCTAAAAAAGTTGTTATTGTTGTTACTATGGCTAGTCTTTAATAAATAAAAAACTTTTAGAATGTTATAATAAATAATTGAAGAAAAAAAAAATAAAATAAATAAAAATTTAATATTTACAGGTCTCGTACTCACGGTTAACGTTATTTCGATCAAACGAAGTGCGTATATAATGTCAAATTGGGTTTGTAATGTGTAAATAAGAATAAATAAATAAATAAATAAAATAAAGCATGCTTTACAATGCATGTAATGTCATGCGCATAAAATTGCATCTATTAAAAAATATATCCCACTCGGATAGCTACTTTATTTATTATTATTATTATTATTATTATTATTATTATTATTATTATTATTATTGTTATTATTATTATCTATATAGACATCATATGACAGCAGAAAAACGTCATTATTTAATACAGGCATTAGAAATAGACATTACCCTTTGAGTGCTCTGAATAAATAGGACCGAGTGGTGCTCGCTCACAATTAGACGTTTGTAAGACCAAGACTGACATTACAAAATATTACATACATTTTTTACATTATTAAAATTAATACATTATATATTTATAAGTTGTAATTCAACTTTGTTATTATATTGCTACTCGTAAACGGTGTGTAGTGTGTAAAAATAAATTCATCAGAACGTGCACGTTTTCAGCAAAAAAAATAATAATCATGAGTAATAATTGGAGTTGTCGTCATTCTCGATCACTCATCTCTATTTTTCTGGCAAGTTTATTTTCAAACAAAGTCTTTTTATTATTATTAATAATAATAAGCACATTGTCAACTTAAATATTTAATATGTTATGGATGTGAGCATAAATATATTTACTATCACAAGGTCATGATCATTTTAATATATCATTTGTTAATAATAATAATAATAATTTATTAAATTTATATATCTATAATTATTAACAAAAATTTCGCAATTATATTTGTTTAATATAGATGCCGGCTGAGTGCATTGCCAATCCACTGCAGCGAGAGCTCGCTGATTCAATAATACGAATGCAGTCTTTGGATGAGATAAGGATACTGCTGGCTTGTGGAGCTAAGCCCAACGAAATAGTTACCCAGGGTTTACGACCACTTCATTACGCGGTTTGGCAAAAGTACACGGATGCTGCTCAACTTCTTATTGTCCGAGGTGCTGACATTGACGCTACTGATGAGTGCGGGTACTCGGCGCTTCATTTAGCTGCTGAGCATGGTTATATTGATATTGTCAAGATGTTATTGAAGCATGGTGCCAAAGTGGATCATCGGCCTGACACTGGCGAGCTTTTTCCTCGGTAATTATTTATATTATTGAGAGAATAAGGAAAATTTTGTGCCTTTTTATGGTTTCATATTATTCTCATCGATAGTCAATTTATGATGATAAGTATTTAAGCTGCATTCGAAAATGATCTATCTCTAAATATATAATTAAGAAATTACCCTGTATCTTGAGAACTATTGACATTTTTAAAGATATAAGCTCATCCTGATGTTACACTCGTCAAGACCTTTCATTTGAGTACCCACATCAATTTTTCATATATTTCATATATTTATATATATTATATATATATGTATATATGAAAAATATATCAAAAATACATGTGGGTACTCAAATGAAAGCTCATGATAAGTATAACATCGAGATGAGCTTATACGTTTAAAATCGTCAATAGTTAAAAAATGACATTGAATCTTGTCATATAATGATATTTTTAAAGATATAAGCTCACCCTCACATTACACTAATTGAGACCTTTCATTTAAGTACCCACATCAATTTTTCATATATTTTATATATTTATATATATGACATATTTGTATATATGAAAAATATATCAAAAATGTATGTGGGTACTCAAATGAAAGGTCTTGATGAGTGTAACATCAAGATGAGCTTATATCTTTAAAAATATCATAAGTTGACAAAATACAATATAATTTCTTAATTATTGACATTTTTAAAGATATAAGCTCATCCCGTAGTTACACTCATCAAGACTTTTTATTTAAGTAGCCACATCAATTTTTCATATATTTATATGTATTATATATATGTATATATGAAAAATATATCAAAAATGCATGTGGTTACTCAAATGAAAGCTTTTAATGAGTGTAACATTGGGATGAGCTTATATATCTTTAAAAACTCCAATATTTAAGAAATGACATTGAATCTTGTCATCTAATGATATTTTTAAAGATATAAGCTCATTCTCACATTACACTCATTGAGACCTTTCATATAAGTACCCACATCAATTTTTCATATATTTTATATATTTATATATATTACATATATGTATATATGAAAAATATATCAAAAATGTATGTGGGTACTCAAATAAAAGCTTTTGATGAGTGTAACACCCGGATGAGCTTATATCTTTAAAAACGTCAATAATTAAAAAAGTACAGTGCAATTTAACAAAATTTATTATTTAATAAAGCAAAATTTTATTTATCTATAATTCACAAGTCACGGCAGTCACATAGTGACTGCAAGGTTGCTATTTTTTTTATAAATAATTAATAAATAGCTTATTAATTATTAAAATATTTACAGTACGATGCTGTGTGATGAACCACTTCGATTAGCATTGAGAAACGGTCATACTGCAGTAGCGAAAATATTGCTGGAAGCTGGCGCAAATCCAAACAAAAGGTACTTTTTTGGTTCGGAAATAAACCTGGTATCACCGTTAGATCTTGAGTGTATGGAATTATTGTTGGCTTTTGGAGCGCAGCCTAATACTCGGGACCGCGCTGGTCTTACGCCATTGATGAAAGCAGCAAGGTTACCTCAGGTAATATTAAAATAATTATTTTATTAAATTTAAATTTAATATTAAAATATTTTAAAATAAATTAAAGGGTATAGCGTCAGTGTTGCTGCTTTTGAGTTACGGAGCAGACGTTAATGCGATGGCGGACGCAAGACACGATTACAGAACAGTTATGCATTATGCGATACTCGGTGGCGACAAAACCGTCATCAATCTAATGCTTAAGCAAGGAATCAGGCTGAATCTTGGCCCTGACTACCAAAAACCCTCGGCCTTGGACTTGGCTATTCTCAAGGGTGACCCCTCGATTGTTGAAATGTTACTTGAAGCTGGTATTTATTGATATTTTATTTACTTTTTTTATTTGGCATCTTATCCTACTTGGCAGTATTACTGTCAGCATTTATATAATTATATATTGTAAAATAATTATTTATCTATATTATTAAGAGAATAAGCAAAATTTTGCGGCCAGTGAATTTATATGATAAAATGCGTTTTATGGTTAAATTTGGTATCGTTGGAAAAGTCTTGGCTTGGAATTGTGCCTTTCCATGATTTCATATCATTTTCAAAAATAGTCAATTTATTCTAGAGACATAATTAAGAAATAACCTTGTATCTGGTGAGATATTGACATTTTTACAGATATAAGCTCATCTTGATGTTACACTCATCAAGACCTTTCATGTGAGTACCTACATCATTTTTTCATATATTTATATATATTATATATATGTATATACGAAAAATATATCAAAAATGCAAGTGGGTACTCAAATGAAAGCTCTTGATAAGTACAACATCGCGATGAGCTTATATTTTTAAAAATATCATAAGTTGACAAAATACAATATAATTTTTTAATTATTGACATTTTTAAAGATATAAACTCATTCCGATGTTACACTCATCAAGAGCTTTCATTTGAGTACCCATATCATTTTTTCATATATTTATATATATTACATATATGTGTATATAAAAAATATATAAAAAATGCATGTGGGATAAGCTTATATCTTTAAAAACATCAATAGTTATTAAGAAATGACATTGAATCTTGTCATCTAATGATATTTTTAAATATATAAGCTCACCCTCACATTACACTCATTGAGACCTTTCATTTGAGTACCCACATCAATTTTTCATATATTTTATATATTTATATATATATCACATATATGTGTATATGAAAAATATATCAAAAATGCATGTGGGTACTCAAATGAAAGCTCTTGATGAGTGTAACATCGAGATGAGCTTATATCCTTAAAAACATCAATATTTAAGAAAGTACAGTGCAATTTAACAAAAGTCATTATTTAATAAATCAAAATTTTATTTATTTATAGTTCACAAGTCACGGCAGTCACATAGTGACTGCAAGGTTGCTAGTATTTTTTATTTTACCAAAAATTAATTGAAAAAATAATAATGATAACCTGATAAATTTTTAGGTGCTGACGTAAATGAATCATCATCAATAATCGGTTCACCTCTTCACGTCGCTTGCGCTGACAATATTCCCAACAGACTGGAAATCCTGAGTATGCTTTTAGAACGTGGAGCTGATCCAAATCTGGTGATAAGAAGCGATGAAGGTCCATCATTGCGTCCAGTTTTGGCAGAGTATGTTGCCAGTAATGTAAATCCATCTGTCGAGGTTGTTGCTCTGCTTCTAAAGTATGGAGCGCGAGTTGTAATAAAGACACAATTTCGTGATCCCCACGGGATACTAAACTCCCTTCAAAATACAGCGGATAAACCGAAATTACTGAGAGCTTTACTGGAGGCTGCTGAGAGTTTTGATCCCTGTATGATCAGAAGATCCAGCAGCTTAACTGACGCGCAAAGAGCTCTAGTGATGGAAGCTGCTCGAACACCCTTGCCCCTTACTCATCAAGCGCGGCTGATAGTCAGGAAAATGTGCGGGCCTAAATTACCTAAAATTGTACGGAGACTTCAATTACCTCAATCGTTAAATCGTTATCTTCTTTATGATTTTTCATAATAATTGTTTGAAATTTTTAAATTAACTTCATTTACCTCTTGTTATTATTATCATTATCATTATTATTATTATTATTACGCTAAATGCATAAAAATAAACCGTTTTATTTTTTGCTATTTTTCCTATTTTGTTTACAAAACAAATTATTAGATTGTGATATGACGATTAATGTACTCTCAAATTTTTTTTGTAGACATTAGTATTTTTATAAACCTGTTGATTAATGATGTAGACTGAATAACATACTGATGATTATTATTATTATTATATATATATTTGTAAATTTTATAAAAAACAATTGTTAAATAATCATTAATCATGTTCAAGTATTATAATTTATAAAGAAAAATTGTAATTTGACTATTAATATGTAAAATGATGAAGATCTCTTGTTGATTTATAAATTTCAAATTGATAAATTTATCAGACTCATGATTTTATACCTTTGTATACATTAAATAATTAAAAGTTAAATATACTGGTAGAAATGACAAAGATCAATTAATCTACTGTGATATTTTAATAGCACCCTTAATCTCAATACTCAATACTATCATCAGTTATTGCGTTAATAACTTTTGGCAATCGTTACGTGCCAATTGAGATGTCTTTATGAAATTAATGATCCTGAGGTCAGTAATTTAAAGAATGACAAATTTTATTTTGTTTTTTTTTTTTTTCTAAGTCAATTCGAATAAAATAATTTTAGACAACCATTATTAAATCAATAATATAAGTTAGATCATTGTTTGGTACTAGGATTTTTGACGCAAATTTAAAATAAAATTTTATAATGAATGGTTAACATTTTTGATATTATGGCAAAAGTATTGGTTTATAAAAAATTTTTTTAAACAAAAGTTGTTGAACATTTTATTTTATAAAAAAAGTGTCCCTTATTTTTTATCCTTAGCATCAATAATTTCACTGTAATTTCAAAAGAAAGATTCATAATTATCATAAAATTTGAATCTTTCATTATTTTAAAATCATAAAAAACATTTTTGATATAAAATTAAATTTTGAACAAATTTTATTCAATAATACTTTTTTATAGGTCTAATATTCTATGATATTAAATTTAGCTGTCATTTGACCGTTTTTGAATTTTATTTAACAAAAAAATTTGTTCCGAAGAATTATTTTTAAAAAATTGCATTTTTAATTTATTAAATTTTCTAATCAATCAATTTTTTTCTCATTTTTTTATGCAGTAATTTATTCTTAAAATTATTTTTAAAATGATTAAATATCTGCTAAATTAATTTTCATAATAATTTCGCCTTAATATTTCAAGTAATTCCGGCGTATTTTTATATTTTTTTCTTTGGAGGGTGAGGGGGATCACATGATGACTACTCAGCCAATGAGAGCGCGAGATGGCCGGCGCGCGCCGTGGCGTGATGCCGAGACTGCCGCTCCCTTCAGATCCGACTCAGCTACCAACAAGGTAAGACGCAGTACCGCGCGCGTCGCGTATGGCTCATTTTTAATTCTTTACATCTTTACTTGCTTTAAATTTTACATACGTTTAAACGTCCGAATCATGTAGACTCTCGCGTTTTATTACACCGGCTTTGTAATTATTCATAAATAAATAAACATTATTAACAATTTTTTTTATATGTACTTCAGTTAAAAGTGTATCAGTTTGTGTTCGCGCTTTTTTTATTTTTTTTAAATGAACGTCAGTTTTAACTTCAGTGTTCAGTGCTTCGGGTACATCAACGAGAAGAAATGACGTTTTTCATCAGCAAAGTCGCTGAATTTAAACTTTTAGTGATGTTTGGTAGAGAAATAGCAGTCAAATGGCGAAATGGCGGCTAAGTCACTTTTAGATCATTCCAAAAAGTCACAATCTTCTAAGTATTATTTCTTCGTCAAGGTTTGCAACATATTTTATTATCTCATCATTTTTTATTTATTATTGTTATCAATTTTCATTGTCATTATTTATTTCAATTGAAATTTTTAATAATTTTCTTTAAATTTTTTTTTAAATTTTACGCCCTCTACCGTTCAACTACATTTTTGCGCGCTATTTTTCAAATTTGAATTTTATAAAATTGTGAGTTCAGTTTTCAAAGGTTTAATCACGAAGAATTATTTGGGTATAAGTATTTAATTTTATTTTATTTCAAAATACAAATTATAAATTATAAACTTAAATATTTAATTATTAGTTTTAAAATTTTAATTGGGAAATTTTATTAATAAAATGAATAAAATGTAAAATTTTTAGATTCCGCGCTTAAAGAAACAACAGTGCCATCTACTGATCACCTTTAATAGCTTTCTGAATTAAAAAATAGATAAGGTACCGACAGAAAAATCAGTGTTTCAAAACAACAATGGCGGTGTTCTCGAAATTCTCTCATTGTTTACATCACACACCAGCCGGGGATTCCAACAACCGTCAGTTATCAATTGTAGAGGTTTTAAATTGCGTCGAAGGTCTCACGTAGCAGATAAGGTGACTGAATAACTTATTATTTTAGTCATTTAATAGCGTTCTTTGTGACTGGGTTATTGTATTCAGCTGGCATTTAGTAGAACATTATTTATTTTAATAATATTCTTTGGTGTTTTTTGTTGGTTAATAATCATGATGGATTACAGTTAGTATTTTTATTTTTTTGGATAAAAAAAAATAATTAAAAAAATGTTAAGGACTTTTAAACATTTTCCAATTTACAATTTACAATTTTTGTTGAAAATAATACCCAAAAGTTTTTAAAAGTCTTTTTAGAATTAAAATTATTTTTTTTTGTGGCTTTATTTATTTATTAATTTCTATATTTGTATTTATTATATAATTGATGTTTTAAAAAAAATTAATTATTGTTATTTTAATTAGTTTTAAATTAATTTAAGATTTTTTTTTTTTATATAGAAATCGAAATAGACGATGTCAAAACGTAAGAAAGATGAAGTAGTCGATTTAACAGAATCAGACGACCAAATAATAAAACCAGCGGCTAAAAAATTGAAACAAGCATCAGAAAAACCCAAAGTACCAAAAAAACCAAAATTAGTTTCTGAAAAAGCGAAACCAGCGCCTAAAAAACGCAAAGCTGAGACTAAAATGGGTTGTTTGGAGTCAAAAGAAAGCATAGCTGATTCTGACGAATTTATAGAGCCAGTTTTAAAAGTTAAAAAATCTGCGGGTGCTAAAAAAAATCAAAAAACTATAATAGACTCTGACGGGTCAACAGAGTCAATTTCAAGTCACAATTTTCATATTGACCCAAACCACTTAGTGCACGACTGGACCAGCGCGGAATACGTCCAAGAGTTCAATGGAGTAACTCGAGCAGTTGCCGAAGCTGTGGTGAAACTTTTGGACAATGACAACACTATTCCTTTCATCGCGAGGTACCGTAAGGACCAAACGCGTGGTTTAGACGCCGATAAGTTAAGATTGATCAAAGAAAGTTACGACCGCGCGAAAGCTATCAAGCACAAAGCCGACTTGGTGATAAAAGCTATCGACAAATCTGGGAAATGGACTCCTGAACTTCACAACCATGTAAAGTCTGTCAAACTTTTGTCTGAGTTGGAGTACATTCACTCGCTGTACAAGACTGGCTCCAAAAGAACCCTCGCGGAACGGGCTAGAGAACTCGGGCTGGGTCCAGTTGCTGAGGCGGTCTTGAAGGGCGATAAAATTCCGTATATAAAAAGTTTTATTCGATCTAATGAAGAAGGTCTTGAGAGCGAAGATCAAATCAAAGATGGAATAATTAATATTCTTGCTGATGTTATTAGCAAAAATAAGGAAACTTTTGATAAGACAAAAGAATTGCGGGAGAATATTTCGGCTACTATTCAGACCAAAAAGACTAAAGACGCCTCTACGGGTAAAATGGATAGTAAGAAAAACGATGATGAGAAGTATAAAATGTATTACGAGTGGAAAAATATGGAGAAAAACATAAAACCCCACCAGACACTTGCTATGAATCGAGCAGAGAAGGAAAAAGTTATCGCAATTCAAGTAATAGTTCCGGATTATTTAGAAAGTCAATTGAAAAAATTTATCTTGCAATTGTACCAGTCGGGAGTTAACGCTTCGGTATTTCACAAGGACCTGATTCACAGGGCGTTCGATACTGCGTACAAAAAATACATTAAGCCGTCTGTGATACGGAGGATCAGAAGCGAGCTGAGTGAGAAAGCTGAGGAAGCTTCTATGGAAGTGTTTGCAGTAAATGTTAAGCAACTGCTCCTCACACAGCCGGTTAGAGGAAAAAGTATCCTGGGGATCGACCCCGGATTCAAGCACGGTTGTAAGCTTGCTGTAATTTCGGCACAAGGCGATTTACTCGACACAGCGACTATTTATCCACACTGTAAAAATGATAAATTGCGACGAGGAGGCGCTGATACGCTCGTTAAGCTCGTACGTAAATATGGGTGCTCTATTTTGGCGTTGGGTAATGCAACAGCTTGTCGAGAAACGGAAAGCTTTATTTCGGATATTATTAATTCGAATTTATTGGACAAACATAAAGTCACTTATACGATTGTTGATGAATCTGGGGCTTCAATTTACAGTTGCAGTGATTTAGCTAAAACTGAATTTCCAGATTTAGATTGCAATGTAATATCAGCTGTATCAATAGCAAGGCGTCTTCAAGATCCACTTGCGGAACTGGTTAAAGTTGAACCGAAATCGCTTGGAGTTGGAATGTATCAACACGATTTACCGGAGAAACAACTGATGGCTAAATTAAATGAGGTAAGTTTAACAAATGTTTGCTGCTTTGAATTTGTAGTCGGTTGCAGAGGATTTAAAGCTGTTGTTTAAGTTAAACATGACATTGATGAATATGAAATTTAATTAAATAATATATTATATTAAGGGAATAAGCAAAATTTGGGGCCAGTGTATTTATATGATACAATGGGTTTTTATTGTTAAATTTGGTAGCGTTAAAAAAGTTTTGATCTGGAGTTGTGCCTTTTAAAGGTTTCATATCATTCTCTTCTATAGTCAATTTGAATCTTGTCATCTAATGATATTTTTAAAGATATAAGCTCACCCTCACATTACTCTCATTGAGACCTTTCATTTAAGTACCCACATCAATTTTTCATATATTTTATATATTTCTATATATTACATATATGTATAAATGAAAAATATATCCAAAATGCATGTGGGTACTCAAATGAAAGCTCTTGATAAGTGTAACATCGCGATGAGCTTATACCTTTAAAAATATCATAAGTTGACAAAATACAATATAATTTCTTAATTATTGACATTTTTAAAGATATAAGCTCATCCCGATGTTACACTCATAAAAACCTTTCATTTAAGTACCCACATCAATTTTTCATATATTTATATATATTATATATATATGTATATATGAAAAATATATCAAAAATGCATGTGGGTACTCAAATGAAAGCTCTTGATGAGTGTAACATCGGGATGAGCTTATATCTTAAAAAATGTCAATAATTAAGAACTGACTTTGTTATCTTGTCAACTAATGATATTTTTGAAGATATAAGCTCATTTCGATATTACACTCATTGAAACCTTTCATTTGAGTACCCACATCAATTTTTCATATATTTATATATATTATGTATATGTATATATGAAAAATATATAAAAAATGCATGTGGGTACTCAAATGAAAGCTCTTGATGAGTGTAACATTGAGATGAGCTTATATCTTTAAAAGTGTCAATAGTTAAAAAAGTACAGTGCAATTTAACAAGAGTCATTATTTAATAAAGTAAAATTTTATTTATTTATAGTTCACAACTCACGGCAGTCACATAGTGACTGAAAAGTTGCTAGTTAATTATTAATATTGATTTATTTATCAACAGGTCGTAAGTGAAGCTGTCAGTTTCGTCGGCGTGGACGTCAATACAGCGTCACATTGTTTATTAAAAAGAGTAGCGGGCTTATCTGATGCCAAAGCATCAAACATAATAAACTGGCGAAAGGGTAACGGGCCATTCATCAATCGCGAGCAGTTACAGAAAGTAAAAGGTATTGGAGCGAAAACTTTTGAGCAATGCGCGGGATTTATACGAATAATACCCGAGACCGCGTTATCTCAATCAGCCGAGTCTAGCTTCATGGAAACTAAATCTAAAGCTAAGATTAAATTTAATTATCTCGACCAAACGTGGATTCATCCCGAGTCATACGGTGCCGCGAGTGCCCTTATCAAAGCTTGCAATTCACGTCCTGAGGATTTAGGATCACGTAATTTTATTTCTGCGATAAATGTCTTCGTTGCTGGTAAAGATCGTGCTGAACTAGCCAAGCAGCTGGGCACTAATAAAACCACGCTGGAGGTTATCGTCAAGGGGCTGAGGATGGAGAAAGGCGAGGATATAAGACGCCAGGGTAGTGCTCCTTTGTTCAGGAATAGTCTCAGGACCATCGATGACTTGGTAGTTGGATCTGTTTTGAATGGAGAAGTCAGGAATGTCACGCACTTTGGCGCTTTCGTTGACATCGGCGTCGGAACTGATGGCCTTATCCACATCAGCGGTTTAAAAGGAGCCGTTCTTTCAATTGGACAGCACGTAGAGGTCAAAGTTGCCAACATCGAGAAAGAGCGAGGTCGCATTGGGCTTCATTTGAATAAATTTTCCTAGATTTTAGTATTTTATTGTTATTTAAGGGGGATAGCCATTTTGAGTATCGAAAAAATAGGTGATTTTCGGGAATTTTTTCGACTGAGATAATAAAGGAATTTTGATTAGAAAATATCATGTTGTTACAAAGTTATAAGCATTTTTGTGGAGTACCAAAACAATTTCCCCCACCACGGTGTGTTCTCTAACTCAAAAAAAGATTATCTAAAACAAAAAAACGAAACAGCGTTATAATCTGCATGCATGTGGTTATCGTTGCACATAGGGGATTTTGAAACTTTGATTTAATAAAAAAAAAGTAGTGGCTATCCTCCTTAAATAATTTTTTTTGTGTAAAAATATTTTAAGAGTGCCTTTTACCGTTATTGATTCAGTACCTCAGATTAAATGTATTTAATTTTGTTAAAATACTTAGAGACAATAAGTAAGTTATTTAAGTTTTAATTTAATAATTAATAAAGTATATTTTCAAACAAACTTTGTATCTCCACTTGTAGAAGACTTGAGAGGTTTAATGTAGTATTAATTATACCGTTAATATCTTTAGGAAATAATCCGAGCGATAAAGGACTTTACATTGACTTATCAAGTACCAGCTGCTTATAATAATACTCGCTTTGTTAATTTAATGAATAGAACCTTTACTCGGTTTGTTGAGTTGAGCGCAACTAATAATATTCAAGATGCTGTAATCAGAATATTAAACGATCTATAGATGGACGGAATAGAAAGCGGAGACCTGTAGGTGAATAGACCAGAACAGGACAATAATAAAATAAAGTTGTGAGGGCTGTGATTCAAACTGACGGATTGACACTGGAGAGTATAGTACGGGAGAAGCGAGGGGAATAAAAATTCCCTTTTAGTATTACCATTATGATTAATATTAGTTATAAAACGAAAAATCAATTTATTCTCTTCGTTTATGCCCCGCTACACATCATTCATCGGGTTGTGAATACTAGTATTAATATTAAAATAATAATAATAATAATTTATTCTATCAATTTATTAAAATAATTACACGGAATTACCGTAATTAGTTTTTTCAATAAAAATTTTTTATTAATTGCTTTTGGTTTTTTACTTTTTAGAAAAAAATTGAGTAGATATTTACGAGGTAAAAAATTCAATAGATAAATTTTTAAAATATTTGTGCGGTTTTAATTTAAAGCTAATGGGTATTGATAAAAAAATCAACGATAAATTGTTTTTTTATTCGTTATTTATTTTCAGGGCTCGTATCGCGTTAATTGAGAAAGTAGAGCGAGAAGACAATAAGAAAATAAATACGTGTGTGTATAGATTGTGGGCTCGGTACAATGAAGTTCGATCGCGATAATGAAACTTGAACGGCGTGTAGGGCGTCGGGAAGTCGCGACGCTCCCATTTTCCTCATTGACGTCGCGCCGTACGTCCTGATGAAGCTCTAGCTCGATACTTTGCCGGGCTGCTGGCTGCTGGCTCCTATATATAATAGGAATAGCTTATACTACGGGGTATGTACACCAAACGAGAAGAGAGGAGTTTTGTAAACAAACTAAAACATCGTTTATCGCTTATCTCATCTGCTAAAAATAATATTTGACAAGAAATTACTTGATAATCTTTAAAATAGCTCTATACAATTTAAAAAAATATTTAAAATTAAAAAAAAATCTTAATTTTAATCAGCAAGATTTTTTCTTAAAAATTTTTTTTCAATTTTTTAATACAATTAAATAATTTTTACTAAAGACCAATATTGTCTCTCTTCATTTTCAGCAGTTGAAAATTTCCAATTAGAAATTCGTTCATTATCTAAATCACAAAGAGAATTTAATAGATTAAATTAACGTTAACAAAAAGTTAGATGGTAATTAACAGTAATTATTCATCCGATAAATGGATTACGTTATGCAGCAGTATTATATTTAGTTATAAATTATATATGTAGTACCTGACAGCAATATTGAGTTATTCCGCGAAACTATATATACAACAGAGCCGAATTAGCCCGATTAGCCGGATACATGTAACCGGATGTCCTAGATTTACATTATATTGGCTCTTGGTCATTGGTACAATGTTTAAGCTCATGTTTGTATGTATGCCTATGCATTATACAGTGTAACTTGTATTGTTAGTTAGTGGTATTAACTGCTATGCTAAATTAAAGCATTTCGATCCATCGATTTTCAATATCCGGATCTAAATATTCATTAATTCTAAAAAAAAATTAATTAATATAGTATATTACGACCCAAGGCCAGAAAGTTGGATTTCCTGGCGTATGTGATATGATGGCCGAGGCTATCATGTCACATACGTCAGGGCATCCAACATTCTGGTCATGGGTTGTATACTATTTTTCTTGCTCTCCAGCCGAAAGTACGCAACCCCGGGGAAGGGGTTTTGCCGGGGGTGAGGGGGGCGCCGCCCGACTTTTGTAAAGCCGAGGCGAAGCCGAGGTTTTACTGGTCGGGGCGGGCATAATAAAAAAGTAAAAATTAATAAATAAAAAAAAATAAGTTATTTTAAAGTTTACTAACAGACGCTCTGATTAAAAGAGATAACATGCACAGAAATTGTCACAAATATTTAAACTCGATTTAATAACAGAATTAATTTTTTTAAGTTGATTAAAAATTAGTTTTTAATTAGACGGCTAAGAAAGATTGAAATTTAATTATTAGAAGCTTGTAGAGTACATGGATTGTTTTATAAACAAATCGCTTTACTAGCTGTCAAAATATAAAAGAAAGCAAATAAAACCTACAAAACTTTTATATTTTATTTTCGAAAATTTTTATATAAATTATTTGTGCAGTATTATATTATTAAATAGTTCATTAACAATAATCTAGTAAGAAATTATTTTTACTTATTTGACACTTTTTGGTTAGTTTATGTGTTGACATGTTACATACAAACGATGTTGTGACTGTTATATACAGTCAAAACTCGCTGTATAG